GAAATAGTTGTTTTATAATAGTGGGTCTTTGATGTTAGAATAACCATACAGAAATAGTTGTTTTATAATAGTGGGTCTTTGATGTTAGAATAACCATACAGAAATATTTGTTTTATAATAGTGGGTCTTTGATGTTAGAATAACCATACAGAAATAGTTGTTTTATAATAGTGGGTCTTTGATGTTAGAATAACCAGAAATAGTTGTTTTATAATAGTGGGTCTTTGATGTTAGAATAACCATACAGAAATAGTTGTTTTATAATAGTGGGTCTTTGATGTTAGAATAACCAGAAATAGTTGTTTTATAGTAGTGGGTCTTTGATGTTAGAATAACCAGAAATAGTTGTTTTATAATAGTGGGTCTTTGATGTTAGAATAACTAAAACAGAAATAGTTATTTTATAAAAATATATTCTAGGTTATTTAATTGTGGCTTAGACTGTGGATTTATATCAAAGTAAAATTAGTTTTATTTGTGCAACTCGGGCTTAATTTGAACAGAATCTTAGCTGATTTTATATTAGTAACATCCTGTGATTTTAGGCAGCCATTGCCAAAGCCACAACACTGGAGGAAGTAGAAAGACTCAACCAGATGCTGAAGTCAGGACAGCTGCCAGGAAAAGAGCTGTTAAAAATGAATCAAACGCCAGGTACGATACCAAGCTTACCAAATAAATGTTAAACAAAAAATGTTACTTTAAGCCGTAACAAATAAAGACAGTATTTTAGTTGGAATTGATGATAATTTGAGAAGACTTAATGATTTTGTATTCTAGTTCATATTTTGAAAAGGCTATTTTTCATTGCTGTTGCAGGATATAAAGATGTATTCTTCAATCTAATAGCAATAAGAAACTTGTGGTTAATGTAGAGAAAAGTGTAGAGATGTGTGGTTTCTCTAAAAGACTTTATTGTGCTATATAGTACTAATGTCTTAGAATGTTTCCTGGGTAAGAAGCTCGCTAATATAATAATAGGTAGGCAAACAACGATTTGTAAGTGTAATGAAGCATTTTATTGATGGTGGAACATGCTACATGTTTGGACAAAATGTTGGTCTGTCTTCTTCAGGTGTGATCGGTACCGAGCAGTACAAGGCTTACGTGTCATTAGAAAGACACGTGGGTTAAATGTGACGGAAATGGTGACAGGATATTGGTAAAGGTCAAGTGTGTGAACAGTTAATAGGCCTTGCCAACTACACTGAACATTGATGTAAAAGCTGTATTCAAACCTTCAACATCTTATTATCTAACCCAAAACAATATCCACAAAGAAAATAAAAACTGAAAATAAGGCATATATAGTATCTCGTTTAAATGTGGAAAGAAATACATAAGATAAGCATCGCGTTAATTAGAAATAAGGTGCAAAGAACACCAAGGTCATGTATGTAGGGGTGAAATCCAGATATCATCAATATAAAATGGGTCACAAAATGCTTTGGGACGAAATTCTTCTCCTACACCAACCCAAAACTAAAAAAAAGAAAGAGATTGTTTAGAAACTATAGAAATCACCAAAGCATACGATCTTTCACTAAACCGTGATAACGGCCTTAGCAACATCAGCCATACTTGGCAAGGTCTCTTCACTGTTCATACACTTGACCTTTACCTATATCCTCTCACCTGCTGACACTATTTTCATCATATTTAATACCTCTTTCTCTTTTGTCATTGTAACGATATATATATGTTCAGTACCGATCACACACCCGAAGAAGACAGACCAACGTTTTGTCGAAACATGTAGTGTGTTTCACGATAAATAAAATTCTTCATTACAATTATAAATTGTTGTTTTCCTACCTATTATTAGAATGTTTCATTACGTGTTTAAAAGTGAACATTATTTTTGTCGACCTGTTAGATAAACTTCTTCCTGCGTGCGTGTGTGTGTGTGTATAAGCATGATTAAGTAATGATTGTTTGGAGAAAAAAAATCATTTTGTACTAAATGCTGCTTTTGTTTTTATAAAGGTGGTAAAAAAAATGAAACTGAAGATGATGACGATGACGAAACCATGGATACGGAGAGCGGCACCGTTAATGGAAACTAAGGTTGTGACATAGTGTAGGACTCCCACTACATCCTGTACCAAAATTTACCCCCACCTATTCTTAGAATTCAAAGTTTTATGATATTTACTGTTTTTCTTGTTCCGTATTTCTCTTTTCAGTATAGGTTCTTCAGTAAAAAGTTTAATTTTCAATTCACAGTAACCTACATCTAAACCTCTATCTGTTTTAAGTTTTTCAGAACTGTACCAGTAATAATCACCTACAGCTCGTCCAGAGTTTGTATCCACGTCAAATGTGTGTGAAATCCTCTAGAAGCAGTCGTAGTTTTTAAACTATTATTTTAGTCTGCATTATATTTTGAACAGCTAACATCTACTTTAAACCTGGAAGTATTATGACATTCACCTCATATTTTAAACCTAAATATAGTGGTGTTATGCCATTCACTTCACATGTTAAACCTAAATATAGTGCTGTTATGCCATTCACCTCACTTTTTAAGCCTAAATATAGTGCTGTTATGTTATTCACCTCACTTTTTAAACCTAAATATAGTGTTGTTATGCCATTCACTTCACATTTTAAACCTAAATATAGTGCTGTTATGCCATTCACTTCACATGTTAAACCTAAATATAGTGCTGTTATGCCATTCACCTCATATTTTAAATCTTGAAATAGTGCTGTTATGCCATTCACTTCACATTATAAACCTAAATATAGTGCTGTTATGCCATTCACTTCACATTTTAAACATAAATATAGTGTTGTTATGCCATTCACTTCACATGTTAAACCTAAATATAGTGCTGTTATGCCATTCACCTCATATTTTAAATCTTGAAATAGTGCTGTTATGCCATTCACTTCACATTATAAACCTAAATATAGTGCTGTTATGCCATTCACTTCACATTTTAAACCTAAATATAGTGTTGTTATGCCATTCACTTCACATTTTAAACCTAAATATATTGTTGTTATGCCATTCACTTCACATTTTAAACCTAAATATAGTGCTGGTATGCCATTCACTTCACATGTTAAGCTTGATAAGTGATTTAGACTTGTAAGATATTGATCCAATTAATAGTACGTGATGGATAATTATTATAATGCCATAGATATAATATTAGCTTTATTAATACGTTTGGGTGTAATGATAGAGTAAGTATTACGTACAGTTTCATTTGACTCTCTCCTCTTTTTCTTTATATCATATCTATGTATAGGAAAACTTAGTTTTGATGTATACTAGTTCATCCTAAAGTTTACGATTACTATTTATTACCTACACATCTCCCGTTCGACGTGCGTTTCTAATTGTACATAACTTTTATTTTGTGTTTTTGTTTTTCTAGGGTAGTGGATGTCCAACTGTTGTCACTAGACTAACTTTGATAGATGTTTTGCACATAAGAACAGAAACCTAAACACTTTCAAAGATCTTAGTGTCAATAAACCAAGAAGCGATTGTTTATAAGTCAATAAATAGCTGTAATTGTGAAATAAACTGTTTGTGTACTCTTTAATGAAGCATGTGATATATAATCATGTTAAACCTTTTTCTTTTATTAAGATATAATTGTTGCAGACATGAAGTTTTGCATGATCTGGTTAGCCATTTACATTGTGTTATATATATATACACACCTGGAAAAAAGTTAAGCACCCCCGTGTTTTTTTCAAGTGATTCAGATTCGACGTTCTTGTGACTGATTATGAATTACCATTCAATCTAAACGTGTTTATCAAATGAAATTATGTATTATTGGGCACAAGAAAA